ACTGCTTCAAAGAAAACAATATAAACATTTGGGAGCAGCCCAGCCAGAGTCCAGACCTGGACCCCACTGAGAACTGATGGAAGAGCTGAAGATCAGAGTGATGAAGAGGCAGCGTTTAACCACAAAGAGCTGGAGATCATCACAAAGAGGAACAAAATCCCAGTGGAGACATGCAGGAAGACTGTTAGTGATTACATGAGCAGTTTAACTGATGTGGTGCCAAATAAAGACTTTGCTACTGATTACTGAGGTATGAATAGTTTTGGACAAGACATTTTTTTTTGTTAAAAATGTAAAAAAAAAAACAGCACTAACATCTCAAACGCAACGTCTCACCACCTGCTGTTACTTGTTACGACATTTCCAGACACATGAAACCTTAAATGAAAACATTGCCTATAAATAAAAACCTGGCATGAATAACTTCAGGGTTAACTGGGTCTGGTCTTACAACTGACCTGGGTTCCATCTGGTCCGATCAGATCCAGCGATCCCATGGTGCTGTAGAGAAAACGTGTGATCTTCATGAAGTTGTCGTCGCCGATGGACCAGGAGCCGTCGACCAGGAACACCAGGTCGGCTTTGGCCTCTTTACATACTGGACAGACAGATAAGCAAGACGTATAGATTCAGTCTGCGGCACATCAGTTCGTCTCTGCCTTTAAAAGAAAAAAGCAATTTCATACAGAATGAATGTCAGTGGAGGACAAAGCACAAGCAGAATGTTAACTGGCTGCTTAATATATTCAGAGTCTGAGTAAATATGCAAAATATGAAGCACGGCAAATATACATCTGCTGCGAAAGGGTAAATATGCAAAGTCTGGGTCTTTGGAGCAATCGCACATTGTAGAGTTCATAAGATTAAAGGTGCAGCACAGTTTCAAACTCAGATTTTTCGGTACACAGAAATGCTCAACATGTTTGTGTCTTGTTTTTCTTCTCTCGTAAGCTGCTCATTCATATTCCTGGTCCTGCCGTGAAACTTATTTTTTTTTCCTCCTCCTGCTTTTATTCTTCTCAGGTTTCTGAATGACTCCCTGTAGCCTTATCGTTGCGGCCGTAAAGTTGTTTTGTGGTTTTAACAAGTTTTCAAACTCCAAGTCTTTCGGTAAATTCCGAACCTTGTTTATGACCGTGTCAGCCTCCATAAATTCCTGGGGAAAAGGTGAGAAATGGCTGTAATTCTAAACGCAACAGAGTACAGAAGAGAGGAAGAAAGGAAACGAGAGGAGAGGAGAGGAGAGGAGAGGAGAGGAGAGGAAAGGAAAGGAAAGGAAAGGAAAGGAAAGGAAAGGAAAGGAAAGGAAAGGAAAGGAA